GATATCATACACAGCGCCGGCGCACGCCCACACATACGATATATATACTTTCGTTACTTAAAATTATATACCAACTATATACCAGTCTAGGCATTAAGCATACTACCGACACCTAGATTACGTATCACTAAAATATACATAATGATAATATCATAATATAATTATATTTAAAACTATATATAATATGAATAAATTTAATAATCGGCTGGGTGGGCTTTTACCAATACAACTCCTAGACTCGAGATCGGGGCAGCCCGGGCTTGGCTCCGATTTTGGCGCTGGACTTTTCATGGCCCGATCATAAATCCGCGACCGAAGCCCAAATAAAACACCTCTACTCTTAGATTGTAAGGAGGTACCTGTATTATGTGCGGGGGTGCGTTTGCGCTTGGTTTCTCACTCGTCAAATTGTGCTAATTCTTGAAGAAATAGTAGCATGTTCAGCAAATCCCTAATACTAGATACATTCAAAAGCGTAAGCAAATTAAGTGTTCTAATAAAATTAATTTCTATAGCGGAAAAGCACTACTGATGATATTTCCCATCGGGGGTTCGTTAACTCAAGTATCTTTAGTGAATAGGACAACAAGATTGCACTGTGAATCATTGATTGCATACAAAGGCATGTCCACCTGCAATTTATTTAAATGACCAGCATATTTAAATTGAACACTTCTAGTATTTTGAGAAATTACCCATTCAAAATTTAATATCTAAGTGGTATATGTATTATCTTTGACTAGTTCTGCTGTCCCAGCTGCAAAGCAGACGGATAAATTTTTTCATGCCTACAGCAATCATATTTCTTAAATGATTACAAATAAGTTTTTGAAATCTACCAAGCATCTCCATTTGAAAGTGCCTACAGCTGTACCCGCGTGCTACAATAATCATGTTACTGTTCATAATATCCGATCATAAGTTCCTTGAATTGCCCCGTATAGTATCTCGCATTTTTGAATTGAACTATAGTAACTTTAAAGTTACCGGTTCTACCACAGTAATTATTTTACTGTTGAATTTACTGCTAGCATGAATAGGAATTCTCTGATCCTCCTAGTTGTTATAAAGGGGAATATATTTGTTTCTTTTTTGGCCGATGGCTAGATGCAGGCTTGTAAATCTGCCGGTGGATATCATCGGTAGTAGGTCAGATAGCGAGCAGCATTTCCGCATGGGAATATTTTTAATGATGTTAACAAACTCATTTTAGTTGTCTCTATTAAGCTAAAGGAAAGAGGTGCTTAGAGTAGAAGTTTGGCCGTTGCTGGTGATCAATTACCGTAGCATGTGGTGTTATTTTATTACTATATATAGTATATATATATATAGTATAGTATAAATATATATATAATATATAATATATATATATATATATAATATATATTATTATATATATATATATAATTAATATATATGCAAAACGGGAGGTGAGCTTGGCAGCGTAGGAAATTTCCTACGCTGCAAGTGCATTGACATGTGAAGCCCCCCACTATCACATGGTGTGGGGCTCAATCTACAGGTAATTATACATGAATGGAATGGAATAGATTCGGATAGCCTTTTCTAATCTTATTTTGCACAATAACAATATTTACAGTGGTTGATCTAATTTCATGGCTGGGCGCTGGCCAGTGGCAGATCTATATATAGCTCCAGTAGGGGTCACGCCCCCCCCCCCCCTCCCCCCAAAATTAAAAAAATTTAGGGTGGTTTTTATAAAATCTCCTCCATTAAAAATTAAAATATATTCATTATTTATCTCAAGACACATACGTCACGCCTCCAACGTTGGCTATTCTATTCGTTTTGTTTAGGTTGTGGTGAATCTCTTACGAATAAAATTGCATTAAGAAAATTCTTCGTCTATCTTTTGTATGCGGACCCCATAACTGAAATTCTGGATCCGCCTCTGGGGCTGGCCCAATAAGAGATGGTCCAACAGGGGAAAATATGGGCAAAATTTTCACTCACATATGGGCTTAAAGTCCCCACGTTCAAAGCACACGGTTGCTAATCACGAGCATTTTTGTTTCAAATGTAGGGACTTGGGGCCCACGTTTAAATGAAAATGTTGAAAATGTTTCTGTTAAAATGCTGGCACCTCTTTCCTACACACGCGGCTCCATTGCGAATGCAAAACGTTGGGAGTCGATATTACAACGTTCCAAAAATGTAGTTAGATGTAAAAAAAAAAATTGTTATTAACTGCTATTTGTTTTGTAGGTGCCATAAAAGAGTTGTTGGAGGAGCTTGACATTTATACAGCTTCGGTTCTCTTCGAAACAACTTGTGGGGGCGCATAAATTTTTGTATATCAAACGCAAATAATCAATCAAAAGTTTTTTTTTTTTCTTTTTTCTTTCTCTTCGAGAGTGAATGACTTGAAATGGTTAGTTGGAAGAACGTTAGAAAATAACCATTGGAGCGGAGAAGGAAGAAAATGGTACGTATAATGGGTATTTAAAAAATAACTATCATTACCATAACCTGGATTTTCTAACAAATGTTTACCAAGGGGACCTATAATTGGTGTATTTAGTAACACTAGTTGGATTGCACGTGCAATGTACGTGGTAAATTTTTAATTTATTCTTTTATTATTGATTCATTTCATTAAGATTTATTTAATTTAAACCATGTGTCAAACATATGGATAGAATTTAAAAATTCAAAAGGATTGAATAATGAAATTACATTTATGTATCAACTAGGTGATAATAGATTGTTTGCATCCTTAACAATAGAAAACAATGAATAATTTTATAAAAGAATTTTATTTGATATACAACATTGAGTTTCAATCAACCAATGCTACCTATATACAGATGACAGTAGACGACCTATTTTATCATAATAATCCAATATAAATGTTACTAAAACAGTAGCATCAATTTTTTGCTTTAGTCCTACTTGTTTCTATCTCCTCAAAACAAATAATAGTCATGCAACAAACAGTAGAGATACTATAAATATCTCTCTTTATCATTGGATATTTTGAGGTTTAATGGTTCTAATTTTTTTCGAGCGGTAAGCTACTTATGCCTATTAGGAGCGTGAGATTTTCTGATTACATGCCTATGAAATTCATCGAATCAAAGTAAATTGTAAGATGCTAAAAAACTACGAAGATAGTATAGAGCAAGAATTTTTGAGAAAGCAAAGAACCAAAGATTCATACTCTTAAGATAACACTTCTATCATTGATAAAATCAATTGCAGATGAAACCAAAGGAGAAAAACCATGATACTATAACTAAAAAGAATTTCATATTTTTTTTACAGATATGGATCAACTTTAATTGATATTTCTCCTGTAGAGTTCACTCACAAATTAGGCTCCAATAAGTTTCTTATTAGAATGAAATTCAGATGTCGCATAGATCCATTGAAGCTGACTTATCACAGGTAAAAAACAATAACATATTGAACTATCGACTCACCAAAGCTTTTTTTGAATCATTTGCTACCCGTGTTTTTTTAGTAAGCTGCCTGCATTTACGACTTGTCCCGATGCATGGCGACGAGAAGGGTATGCTAAGCAACCACTTGTTCTCCCTTCTTTACCACCTAAATTAAAGTTTTCAAGTACGAAGTTTAGTAATTGCTAGTCTGGGAAAGGTATTTTTGGCAGTAGTTAAAAAAATGAAGATATTATAAACACATTTTATCTATATTAGATCTATGAACAAATGACCATGTTAATGAAACACAATAACTGAGTGGCACAGAAACACTTGGTCTGAAAATAGATAAAACATGTACTGGAGCAAGCATGAAAAATGAAATTTTTTTAATAAAAAAAGTGAAACAGGATGTATTCTATGACATAAATAGATGTAACAAACTTAACAGAAGACTCCCAAATGAACAGTTAGCAAAATCAACTACCAGATTGTCTTTTGACATTACCAAGAGCTGGTGCCAACCCAAGTCTAGGTCCTGCTCCAGAACCCTATATAGAAGATAAAAAATGAGCAAGGTGTTGTTATGATAGAGAAAAAAAAATCAAATGAAAATCTATCTACAAGAAATTAAGCCTATATATGCAAGACTTACAAGAGGTCGTTGAGGAGTGCTAGCAATTTGTGATTGATGATACTTCAATATCATTCAACATCTTGCTTGAGATTTACAGATATCTAAACCTGCCATCAGCACAAAATTCCTCGTCAACAGGAACAATATGAGTTACCAAAATACCTTATCCTCGCGAATAAAAAGGTCACAGAATATTCTTTTAAGTTATGAAAAATTAGGTTTGTCGTCAAAACGTAGTGAACGACAGTAGTGGAATTTGGATGCAAATTATGTAGGATATCCATGACATAATGCCTGAAGATAATATATCAATGTTGTCAAGATTATATATATATATATATATATATATATATATATATATATAATTTATATCATATAATATATATTATATATATATATATAATATAATATATTAGTATATATAATATATTATATATATATATATAATATATATATAATATATATATAATAGTATTATATATAAGCAGATGAGAGGAGAGGAGAGGAGAGAGTCAGGAAGAGAAGTATGTATGCTGCCAGGTACCAACTGCACAAATTTTATGCTTGTAATGACGGCGCTAGCACAATTCCCCTCTACTCGATTCAATGGAGAGGATCACATTCACATGGCGTTGGAGAAGTGCATGGGGACTTATACAATCATTTGAATGCACGTGGACGGGGCATTTATGCTCACCTCACTACTAAGCATAATTTTTTTCGTGCTTTGCGCTACCAAGCACAAATTTTGTGCTTGGTAATGAGGTAGCACAATCCCCTCTACTCATTCAAATGGAGGACCACATTCACATGGGTTGAGAAGTGCATGAGGATATACAATCATTTGAATGAGTGGAGGGAATTATGTGACCTCACTACCAAGCACAATTTTTTTTGCTTGGTACCAAGCATACCCATTTTTCTCATATATATATATATATACACACACACACATAAACCTTCTCGATCTGCACTTGTGAAGAGTTCGATGCACTTTGCTACTTGCATAAGCTCCACATCTTCCCCCAACCTCATTTTCTTTATGTGGATAGAATTTCACAACGTTCTTCTTTGTCCGGTGGTGGCAGCGTACAACACCTAAGACATTATGAAAATGTATATCATCATAGGTTATTTGTTGAAAATACAAATTATTTGTACAGTGTAGACATCAACAATTTTATAGATTAAGCTTGCTAATGTTTCAATTGATTTAATTGTAGTTAGATCCCTTGTACTATTGCCTAATCACAAATAAATATCCTATAGTAAATTTTTGACTCTTTTACCATCTAAATATCTATTTGTCCAAAGAAAAATAAAAAATGCTTATTTTTGAAGGTAAAAGCGTCAAAAATAGTTTTAGTTAGGAGGTCTACCTGCAGAAACAAAAAGTCTAAGGACATTCGCCTTTATGGATTGTCTTCGGACACTCACCCTAAAAGTAAAAGGGTGGGGTGTGGTTTAGTTTTCTAATAGGCTTAAATTGGGGTTAGGTTGGGCTTTACCACACGTGGCGACCTAATGATGCAAGTCATAGCAACACTCACATTGCGCGAGTATCGTTAGAATTCCTACTACAACAATAGTCTACAAGGGATTCATCCAAAATTTACTGATAATATATGGTGTATATCTGCAAGTAACCCTAACAAATTTGGAAAGAGATCATTGATTTTAGGAAATTAAATGGATAAAGTGCACACTTTATTGTGTTGTAAATAGGGGGCATATTCATAAAGAACAATGAGAGAGAGAGAGAGAGAGAGAGAGAGAGAGAGAGAGAGAGGTAATGAGAGAAATTAGGGAAAAAAGAGAGAGAGAGAGAGAGAGAGAGAGAGAGAGAGAGAGAGAGGTAATGAGAGAAATTAGAGGAAATCAAGGGGAGACTCACTTGCTATTTTTTTTTCTATATCGATCTGTCGTTACCTAATGAGTGCCCGTAGGTATTCGTTAAAAAGATTGATCCTGCTTTGATGAAAGCATATAAACCAAGAACATTCTGAAACTTTTGAACTAAAAGGCTAAATTGCATAAGTCATACTTTTAGTTAACATTAATTCAACTATTAGCATGTGACCATGTAAGATGAATACATACCAAATCAAAGTGTCTAGGATGCTTGAATGCCTATGGATGATGTGCAACAACCAATACAATAATTCCCTACATATCAACGGGGTCTTTAGAACAAAATTGGTCAAAGACAGTTCATAATTTCCTAATTAAGAAAATAAATGAGATGAGGTTTACTGTTGTCTGCTCTAGGCCATCCATTTCAGCCAGCAGCGTTAACGATAGTCTCTCCCAAATATAAATATTACCACTTGAATCCCTACCGTGACCCTATTTATAGGAAATATCAATAATGTTCAATAAATGTACAAATATGTCCTAGTCAATTAAAGTACTATCACATTACCAAGAAACTTAACATGAAAAAAAATCCACCTTGAAAGCCAAATAATACACTTGAAAGCCAACAATAGTACATTTATACTCGAGAAAAAACATAGATCCCTAAACATTTCTCCCCTTGGTGTTCATATAATAAACTTGAAACCAATAATAATACATTTATACTCCATGAAAAAAAAATCTTCATTTCACCTAAAAAGTGAAGAAAGAAAATACATTAGGCAAAAAATCAAAACCTCACTCCACTGTAGGCACTACAAATCAACTGAATCATGACAAGATGACAGCTTTTTCAATGTAATCTTGTGTTATACTTTAGGGGTGAGCACGGTTCGGTTCGGGTCGGTTTTTACCAAAATTTGAACAACCGAACCGAACCACCTATAATTCAAAACCGAACCGAACCGTTGCAAATCGGTTCGGTTCGGTTTGTTCGGTTCTAACTTTCATCAAGTATAACAATCATAGGCTTGTCCCAAAAGATAATTTGTATATATTTGTTTTCATATGCGCCCAAATGCAAATCATTTGAGCCATGGCTAAGAACTCCTAGCGCTCGTCGTCGATGGGGATGCCACGCTTGCGGGAGGGGGAGAGGGAGAGGGGCATTTCGGGAAGAGGAGGGGAGAGTAAGGGGTCTTGGAAGAAGAGAGAGAGCGAGAGAGAGAGGGATTGAGGCCGAGTGAAATGGGAAATTGGGAATGAGTAGCGGCGGTTGGGATTTGGGAATGAGAGGAAATGAAGTTAGGGTTGAGGGTTTGGGGCGGGTCGGGTAAACGCGAACGAGTTTGAAAGTTTTGGAAATATATTCGGTCGGTTCGGGTCGGTTCGGTTTGAAAAGTTGTCAACCCGACCCGAACCGTCTTACTCTTAAAACCGTTTTTTTCGGGTCGGTTCGGATCGGTTCGGTCGGTTGAGCGAAAAAGAACTGACCTTTTGAATGCTCTTTGAGAGAGAAAAGTCGGAAGCATGCATCAAACAATAGAGAATCTCAATTAAGTAAAAATGTTGGATTCACATTAAAATTTCAATCATCATACAAATCAAATTGTGAGTAATTGAAACTTAAAGTGTTTAAGAAAACTAAATTATTACAATCGAATCAAAACATATCTAAAGAACAACAAAAAAATTAAGATCAAATGAAATAGGAGGTGGTCAATTACCTTATCACAGCTTTCAAATAGGGTTGATGCCGGGGCGCTTCTTCTCAAGAAATATGATTGTCTATAGTGACTTCGGACATAGTTTTATTATAGAAAAAGGAAGTGAGAGTTATGTTAATATTTTGAACAGAAGTTGTAAGGTTGGAAATGATTTTCATTTGGAAGAGGAATTGAAGCGGCGGAATAAATAAAAAAAGAAGAAAGAATGGAAAGCTCGTTGCGGAAAAAGAATTTGAAGCGGTGACAAAAAATGAGAGGGGGCGCTAGGTGCAGTGAAAGAACTGATTGTTAGCTATTATGAACAGTCAACGAACTGATTGTTAGCTATTATGAACAGTCAACCTTCTATTTTAACATTAATCTCTAATTATGATTACAACCGAGCAATTTAATAAGAAAAGATGGTACATTAGTATATATAAGAGAAGATAAATGGTCACATTTAATCCACCCTATAACCAACAATTGTGTACAATTAATTTAATAATTAAATACATATTTCTTCATGAATCATTCTTCTTAATAAAATTAAATAAAGAAAGGATAACTTTGTTAAATTAATGAAAGATGAAGGGTATTTTGGGTTAGAGAAAGTTTTTCTAGTACTCCATCTTTTAAAGGGAGAATGATTTGGGGGACGTACGTCATATTTGTGAGTAAATCATTGATGTTTTCGGACTAATATCTAAAAACCCTTTAATTTAAGGTTTTATGTTATTTTTCTCTAATAAATAGTTATAACAACAAATTTTTCTTACGATTGTTTTATCAAATTAAAAAGGCTTAATTGCACTTAAAATGCCCTATATTTATCCAATCCCGTACTTAAGTGACTTTTTATGGTATTTTCTCTAATATGTAGTGTATGATAACAATTTTTTTCTTACGATTGTTTTGTCAAATTAAAAAGGCTCAATTGCACTTAAATGTCCTATGTTTACCAACTTTGTGCTTTAAGTGACATTTTTATGTTATTTTTCTCTAATAAATAGTTTATAATAACAATATAATAACAATTTTTTCTTACGATTGTTTTGACAAATTGAAAAGGCTTAATTGCACTTAAATGCTCCATGTTTACCCAACCTTGTACTTAAGTGACATTTTATGCTATTTTTCTCTACTAAATAGTTTATAATAACAATTTTTTTCCTTACGATTGTATTATCAAATTAAAAAGGCTTAATTGCATTTAAATACCCAATGTTTACCCAACCTGTACTTAAGTGACCTTTTTTTTTTCAAATCAAACAAACAATGCCTCAAAGTATTTAGGTTTTACAGATAAATGCCCTAAAATTTTAAAATATTGCACATTGGTGCCCTCTTCTTACCCAATGTTTCATAAAAAATGACCCAAATTTTGTAAATGGGCCCACTTAAATACCTAAGGTTTCTAAAAGTTTTATTTTAGTCCCTTCTGTTATATGACGTAGATAAAAAATAATATCATCTGAGTTTTTTTTAATTATGAGCCATTTATTTGCAATACTTAAATTTTTTTAATATAGTTTTTGTTCGGTTTGAAAAAGGGAATCACTTTAAGGGGGTGTTAATCAATTGAGACATTTTCATGCAAAATGAGATAATTGTTAAAGTGGAATAATTTTTCGCTATGGGATATTTTAGTGGGATAAATAAGAACAATTTTGTGAAGCGGGATATTTTGATAAAAGAAGGTGGGATAAATTTTTATAATCATGAAATATATATTTATGCATTTTGAAGATATAAATACTATTTATGTATTTTAAACTTGCTATTATTGTTTGATAATTACTTACAAGAATGTTCTTTACTATTAAATAACTTTTAGTTAGACTATAAAATATTGACAATTATTATTATAATAATGATATAATGATGGTGATAACCATAATAGGAAAGAAGTAAAGAAAAAAAAGAAATATAAAAAATAACAAAATAAAAATGAGTTCTAGTTTTTTACCACTTAGTTCCAAGCTAAAATTTAGAATAATTTGAGAGACTAGAACTCTTATTTTTATATAGAAAGATGAGAAAAGTGGGATAATTTTGTATCATTATCCCAATTCTAGTTTTATTAGAGTTCTACTTGACTAACACTGTAAAATTTTGTTCTAGTTTTAGTTCTATGTGACTAACACCTTAAAAATTCATCCCACATATTATTTGAGTTTTAATTTTAAGTTCTAGGTGAGTAACCCCAAATACAAAATTGGGGAAACTATAGTGCGTTTAAGTGCAATTAAGCAAATTAAAAATAAAATTGTCCCAGACAGTCCTACCAATTCCGGGACCCACACAAAAGCACAGAACCTCTTGCAAAAACGGAAATTTTTAAAACAGCCCCAATTTTTTGTTATTTTTCAAACTCGACCCACTTTTTTTTATTTATCAAAATCGACTCGCTTTTTGTCACGTGGGCTTAATGAAGTTTCTAAACAGTCGGGGTTGCCAACCCCGACTGTTTAGGACATAAAATTTTTGGGTTTAAGGGTTCTAAGTAGGGTTTAACATCCTCCTAAACAGTCGGGGTTGTCAACCCCGACTGTTTAGGAACTTCATTAAGCCCACGTGGCAAAAAGTGGATCGATTTTGATAAATAAAAAAAATAGGTCAATTTTGAAAAATAAAAATCTCTTTGGGGCTGTTTTGAAAATTTGTTCCTTGCAAAAACCCACACCCAGATCCCCAACCGCCCTCTCCTTCTCAAAACCTCAGTCATCAAAAAATGGAGGGGCGAAACCCAAAAATTTTGGTCGTCGGCGGCAGCGGCTACGTGGGCCGCACCTTCTTCGCCCCTTTCAATTCAACGCCCTCATTCACTTCCTGCCTACTACTCGTCATTCAATCTCACCGCCGTCATCCACTTTCAGACTCAGTCGTCCGCCGTCGCCCCCGCTCTCCCCTTCGCCGTCGATCTCAGCTCCGGCGAGGGTTTCGACGCCGTCTCCGCCGCTTTCGGCCAGGTGACACGTCAGCACCCTAGATCCTATCGAAAAGTGTTCTCTTTTGTGTGATTCTGAGCTCAATAGCTGACTGATAGAGTTGTAGCAGTAAATGCTCTCGTCTCTTTTTTTATTTATTTATGATAGTTTGATATATAATTTGATCTTTATTTTGCAGAAAAAGGCTACAGAATTTATAATTTCTTGCGGTAAATAAATAAATAATAATAATAATAATAGTAATTAATTAGCATCATGTAACATTTTATCCATGCGGCATGCGATACTTGAAATTGCAACGTACCAAATATCCTCTTACTGCTGGTTGCTTGATCTTGATCTCAGCCGGATGTGATTGTAAACTGTGCTGCGATCTCGGTTCCTCGAGAGTGCGAGGTCAATCCGGAGGCTGCTATGGCTATTAACCTGCCGACTTCGCTTGTGAATTGGTTGTTGAGCTTTGGCAATGAGAGATCGTTGTTGATTCATCTCTCAACTGATCAAGGTAAGAATTGTGCATTTTATTGTTTTCCCCCTTCTGAATGTGATGGCATAAATGCGATTCGGGTAAATACGAATCGATTTTCCCAAAGCAACAAATTTAGATAATCTCAGCAGCAATTTCCAACCGAACTCTAATTCCTTTTTTGCGTAGGTTATGAATCTGAACTTGAAACACATCCCAAAACAGAGTTTTTTCATTATTCATGTGATTTAGTTTAGATCATGACACAAAGAGCTTTCTATACCATTTCTTGACAAAGATAAATTGAGAAGGAACCTGTAGCAAGTTGATTCACGATTGTATATAAGCGCTAATGATGAACATAACTTCTGTTTTCTAATTCTTTTATGTTATATGATATGATTTTTGTTCGTCTTTTAGCTACTAGCTCGGCCATGTAATTTAATATAACTTCATTGACAACAGTTTATGAAGGCACAAAATCATTCTACAAAGAGGAGGATGAGACGAATCCTGTTAATACTTACGGAAAATCTAAAGTAGCAGCAGAGCAGTTTATATCTGAGAAATACTCAAACTTCGCTCTCTTGAGGAGTAGTATTATATATGGTCCACAAACCATCTCACCTGTTGCCAAGTCCCTCCCAGTCCAGGTAATATATCAGGGACTCTATCTCTTTCATAACCCATAAGGCCATAAATAGATATTTGCTTTTTGTTAACCTGAACCTTGTAGATCGTTTTTTGTACATTATCTGCTTAGTTTTATATAACGACAATAGGAAAGCTATTTTATTTACCTACATGAATCCTTTTCTCTGGATGCTTTGTCCTTGAAATTTGCAATTGTTGTTATGTTGTATACTAACTCAATTCATGTTCAAATACACTATTGATAGTGTCTTTTACAATTTGATACTATAACTCCTAACTGACACACGTCAATCTCAAATGCAATATGTTTAAATCATCCTAGGGAATATTATCTCATCTTATCTCGAAGCTATCTTTTTCTATAAATTCCCTCATTCTTTATCTTGTTTTCAGTTTATTGTTGCTTGTAATTTATACAGTTAAAAGATTGATTTTTAATCTCAGTTTTCAGCTAATCTATCTTTCAAATATCTTGTGAGCTGCTTAAGATTCTGACACACAGAGCAATATTGTTTCTATAACTTTCTATAAAATTGACTGCATGTTTTACAGTCGAACCATAGTTTCGAAGAACTTCTCTGCATCCACCATTTTATTTAGATTTTGTGGAAAAATAATCCTCTATCACGCATCACTTTCTGCTCAACTTAATACTTCGCTTCTATTCTTCATCTTTTGACTTCCAAGTTTACCTTATCAACGCCAAGTTAGTCTAGATTTGGAAGATCCTTGACAATATGAAGCCTTTAAACCTTGCGACCAATCTACTCGATTATATGTTTTTCAACTAACAAGACTAAATATATAGCTACTATGAAGGAGTTATGTAACTTTATTTGCGCATATTCAAGTAATTTTGTTCTATGCTGTTGAACAAGCTATTTCTTTACTGCTATCTTATTGAAGTCTTTGAACAGTATACTTTTCAATGTTCAGCATCATATGTTTTGAGACTGATACTAAAACAAATTGCTTAAACAATTATTTCTTCTAACCATTGTTTTGTTTTCTCTGAAGTGGATTGACAGTGTCCTTGCAAGGGGTGATGAAGTTGAATTTTATCATGATGAATATCGCTGCCCAGTATATGTCAAGGACGTGGTGGACGTCATATTGGCATTGATAAAGAAAGGGATATCAGGTATATGTTGGTACCATTATGTATGTACCATGACTAACAAGTAAAGGAGTCTTATCATTTTTTTTAATCTGTGCTATCAAAATAGACCATGGATTCTGAAGCAGCATTCCTCTTGTTTCTTCTTATACTGTTAAAACAAAGTGATTCCTAAATGCACTTGTTATTGGTGTCCGTCCTACTTGTGAAAACAAATACTCTTCTCAAGTGTTCAAGGTGAGTACATAGGGATGGATGTAACTAGCGTATTGGTATTGCGGGTATGGCACAACCGGGAGCATTTGTTGGGGCTTCTGGATAGCTATGCATGTGTTATATATGGTTGAATGGGGAGGCAATATTTGAAGACGTTAACTTAATGGCCACAATAATATAAAACCTATATTTCAGACATATGACACAAATTGGTTTGGTACTTATTTAGAAAATAGGAAGCAAACTATTTTATTTAATAAGTAGCACTATTAAGATTAGCTATGCAAACTTAACTATAAAGGCACAGTGTAAGCCTGGAAAATCACAAACAACTCTCCTAATAAAGAGCTAAACAAGAGTGGTGTGTATGTAAAAAAGAGCTTCCCCAATCAATTAGTTATATCTGCTCTTCTTTTATATTGATGCTAGTTGGCACACTAGAAGCAACTATTATGCTACTTTTGGAGGTGGAGAAATATCAGCATTATTATTCTCGAGCATGCAGTTCAAAAGTGATGTTATAAAAATAAGTTGAATATAACAGTAGAAAATAATTATGGCCACACTTTATCTATTCTAACTTTATGACATTCATTTTCGTACTGCATATAACTACTTTCAGTAGAAAATAATTATGGCCACACTTTATCTATTCTAACTTGTGACATTCATTTTCGTACTGCATATAAATACTTTCACCCTGCCGCAGGGTTAAATAAATATGCAACAAGAGAAATCTGATTTAACTATGACCCAAGTTATTCTATGTGCTTACTTTTCAGATGACAATCAAATGAAATTACTTCTAAATGTGGGTGGACCGGATAGATTATCACGGGCACAGATTGCTGAGACAGTTGCAGATGTTAGAGGTTACAGCCGCTTACCCATCAAAGCCGTTTCTGCATCATCGGTAGGTCTTGTTATGTCTCAATTAATCTAGTAATTAGCATGTTTCAGTTGTTATGTGCAATTATTCATAAGGGTTTTGCAACATGAGTTCCTTAAACCTTTCATATTTTGACATTAGCCCCTCAAATTATTGAAATTACTATTAGGTCCTCCAATTCTTAAGTTATTTGATATTAATCCCTCGGCTTATTGAAATTGCTATTAGGTCCTCCTATTCTTAAGCTATTTTAAAATTAGCCCCTCGATGAAGTGGCAATTAGAGAGATTAGTTTGAAACAACTAATGAGAACTGGGGGACCAGTAGCAATTTCAATTATTTAAGGGACAGATTCCAAACTAACTTAAGAATAGGGGGACCTGATAGCAATTTCAATGATTCGAGGGACTAATTTCAAACATGAAAGATCTAACGGTTGGAAAACCCATATTATAAAATGAGTGGCTTTTCTCTTTAAAACCTTCTAATGTTTACAAACCCCTCAAATCAAAGTATTTTCTAGCAAATTGCATGTTCAGAGTTTTATATCTTCATTGTGCCTTTGCCCATGTAATTATTGGGACCACTGTTAGCTCAGTTTTTTTTTTTTTTTGTAGGTTAATCGAGGAGTCGTCTCCCCAGCTGACATATCTATGGACATAAGTAGATTGATTCAAGTGCTCGGTATTACTCCAATTTCATTTAAAGATGGTGTTAGATCAACGCTCAAAGAAGGCAGTTCTTAATTTAAATCTAGAATGAACCTCATTGTGATATTTCAAGATATGGTCAGAGTCTGCAACATTACAGGACTTGTACCAATTTTATGTTTTGCTTATGGGATTACGGCATGTATACGACATCATGTGATTCATTGCCCTCATTCTTGTGGCGTATGATATGTATGAGTATTTTTATGCTGAATTTGAGTTGTCTTTCTAGTTGGTACTATTGACGTACAATTTATACATATACATAGGCTTATATTAAAAAATTGGGAAAATTGCTTCCAAGCCCCAAACTTTAAAAATCAATGTGACCTAGCTCCTCCTACTTTTACCTATGTGCTGCACCCTCCAATTTTTGAAAAATTTGTACCCTACCCCCTCCAACTCACCTCTCCCTAAGTTTCAATGCATTTTACATCAAAATCTCAACTTTACTCTCAATAGCCCTCCTTCTTTCTTCTCCTTCTCCTCCACTCCCCCTCTGCCCCCTCCCTCAACTCTCTCCTCCTCTCCTCCTCCTCCTCTCCGTTCCCTTGGCAACGCCGGCTCCCTCTCTCGCGACGAGATCTGCCGTTTGTTGGGGTTTTTCTAATGGTTGAGGACGACATCGTAAACCGCCAACTCCCCAACCCACTCCAGATCCAACTCCTATAAGCACACAGCAGCCCCTTCCCCTATCCAAGCCAAGTCCGGCCAACCTCAGCCCCAACCTCGCTGATTAATCACCACCATCACAATACACTCCGCCCAAATGCACGCCACATGTTCGACCTAATGACTGAACACCACGCCTAACCCTTGCACCTCCCAATCTTTGAAATGTCACATCAGCCTTCAGCCGACGCTCTGCCTCCAATGTTACACCACCCACATCGTGTTACGAAGCCTCCCTACCCCAATGGTGCACCACTTACCCCGCCGAGTTTGACGCAGAGGTGGCGACCATCAGGTCGGCGATGGTGAATGAGTTGCATGAGATGGGGGCGACGACACTATTCATTACGGCGGAGAAGGGGTATTTAGATATTATGGTGGAGTTGTTGAGGTACACGTATAGAGAGAGCTTGGCGAGGAGGAATGGGTTGGGGTTTGATTTGGTTGATCGTCAAAATAATTGAGAGGGGATGTGTTTGTGTTTGTGTGTGTGCGTTTGTTTGTGCCGCAATTGTTGTAGGATTTGGTGTGTGTGTGTGTGTGAAGCGTTGAATTTTATCTACTATCCAACTCAGTGAAGAAAATGGCGATGAGGATGAAGTCAAAGGGCGGTAGATGAGGCTTTTCGGGTTATTAGGTTTCGGATCTGTGTCAGATGGTATATCAGACTCGGAGCCGCTGGAGCAGGATAGTTGGAGGGATGAGGAGGGACAAAGGGAAGAGAGGAGGCGGCGGAGGGGGATGTGAAACACTTTTGTAACGAACCGATTGTCACAACCGAGCAACTTGCAACGAACCGATCGCCAATTAATATGAGTTGCGAATGTGAAACACTTTTGTATGTATGAACTGAAATACTTTTGGGTGTATGTAATAGCTAAATACTTTTGTATGTATGTAGTAGCTGTGTATATAAACTGAAATACTTTTGTAGGGATGTGAACTATAATGCAAATGTGATATAAAATTGATGCACAAATTTATCCTATTAACTATTGAAATACTTATATATGTCATTAACTATTTAAATACTTTTGTTAGCTTGTTAAGTTACTCTGTTAGATTGTTAAGATACACAGGTAACATGTTAACTTTTCTTGGTAGCTTGTTAAGTTACACAGATAACATGTTAACTTTCGTAGGTAGATTGTTAAGCTACACAGATAACATGTTAACTTTCGCAGTTAGATTGTTAAGTTACACAAATAACTTGTTAACTTTCTTTGTTAACTTGTTAAGTTATATATGTAACATGTTAACTTTCGCAGTTAGATTGTTAAGCTACACATATAACATGTTAACTTTCCTTGATAGATTGTTAAGTTACACAGATAACATGTTAACTTTATTTGTTCGCTTGTTAAGCTACTCAGATAACATAAGTTAAGTTACACAGATAACATGTTAACTTTATTTGTTCGCTTGTTAAGCTACTCAGATAACATAAGTATATGTCCACCTACAAAAAATGTGAACGTTTTTATTTGTTCGCTTGTTAAGCTACTCAGATAACATAAGTATATGTCCACCTACAAAAAATGTGAACGTTAAGAATTTATATATGTTAATAGCTGTATATATTTGTCCTATTAACTATTGAAATACTTATTGAGAAGCTCACCTACTTTTCATGACAGGAGGCTAGCATGGATAAGGACCATCATACGTTCTTGCTCGTCAAAATGATTCCAATTCATCAACAAATTTACAAATAATTGTGAAGAATGTTAAGTTTATGATAGGAGCATAACTTTTACTTGGAAAAAAAATGGTTTTTCGTGTGTGCCTCTTAATTTTTTAATATTTTGAGGTTGGTCGATCAAATTATTGAATATTACTATTTAGTCATTCAAATCCTATTAGCTATCTCAAATTAGTCTCTCTGTTAGTTATTTCGTCTAAATTGTCCATTCAATTTGAGTTAGTGATCTGAGAGAGGAGAATCGTTGTAAAATTAATAAGTTTAACACCTCGTTTGGTACGCGAGAATAGAGTCAAGTGAGAATGGAAAGAAGGTAGAAATGAAATGGAATAAATGTGGGAATGAAATGCAAATTCTCATTCTCATGTTTGGGGGCGTTTAGAGAATGAAACAGGAATGACAATCTTATTCTCATTCCCACGTTTGGTATCCTTTGTTCACGAGTGAGGATAAAATTTAGTTTTCTAATAATACCCTTACCAAAACATAGAATTTTAAAAACATTAAAAATATTCTAAAAATGACTAAATAATTTAATTTTTTAGAAAAATAAGTTTTATAGAAATGATATTTTTTCCTTAGAGAAATAAATTTTTATGTAATAGTTATATTTTGGCACACCGTCTCGGCAACAATTTCGGATTTTTGGCTTACAAATTAAAAATAATTTTCATAGAATTTATTTTTAATTATAAATAATTATAATTTTACTTTTCTAACTTTTAGTGTTACATGTCTATTATTTGTACGAGTAACTAATGTTACTAACATCATTGTGCGCTAGAGAAGAGAAGAATGCCTCATAAGAGATATTGCATATAGTCAAAAAGTTATTTTTATCTAGATGCCAACAATATTGCAAAAAAAAAGAACGTGATAAAATAGTTAAAAACATAAAAATTGTATGAAAAATGTGTCTACTAAATCATGAATAATTGGGCACACTTCACAACATCTCCTGCTAAAAGAAATTTTGAGATTTCATGTTCAAGGGAAAAATAAAGGAGAAAATAAAAAAGTGAATTTATCATCCATATGTCCAAAATTGATATAAACGGTAGTATCTATAGTTTAAAATTTTATATGTAAAAACCATCACATTCGACAAATTATTAGAAATATCCAAATTCTAATCAAAATATCCATAAAATAGTTCGAGCAAAATAATTGGGCAACCATCAAAGTATCAAAATATCAAGTTTTGAAATTACAAAATGATAAACTAGTCTATAACTCATTGGGCAACCATCAAAGTATCAAAATATCAAGTTTTGAAATTACAAAATGATAAACTAGTCTATAACTCCAAAGTGCTACCTAATACTCCCCGCTGTATCGCCTCACCCATGTCTCCTTTAGATTATCACTAATTGTGAAGAACAAATCTAGCAAATTTCGGTTAGCATCAATCGTCCCTATTGCTGTAAACACTGATCCATAGTTAAATTCATTTTCATTACTTGTTCAGTAAACCTTTGTCTCTTCTCGTATATACTCACTTCATCTAAACCATCCTTGATCAATTGGCTTGATTTAACAAGCTCACTTCTAATATATGCACTAGTTTCCCTCATGACCTCTCCTAATGAATCGCTATCTCCAGACAAACGTCTCTTTCTTTTTCGCTTCAAGGAGACTTCACTCGTGTTCCCTGTTGTTGCATCCTGTGAAGGTGAGTCAATATCAATAAAATCTTCTCCGACAGTCTCTTAACTAACCTCTTTATCCAATTCCTCTGTAACATCAGTATGATGTTCCACTCTGTTTCCTATTGCCCTATCCTTCCCGAACACAATAACCAGAGTTTTATAGTGTGGAAAAGATTTCTCTTTGAAAGATATTACATTTTTGTGGGCCTATATTAAAAGATTAAAAAAAATAGACAACCATTAATTAAAAAAATATGTCAAATGTAAAAATGATCATGTGATAAATTTAAATTTAATAATAAAATACCTGTAAATATTCATCCCAAACTTCTTTTTCAGCAATCACACATTGCTTAGTTGCATCCCATCCAAAGCCACTACAATTAAGCATATCAAACACAATGCTAAATTGTGTTTTAAGTATCTTCATCCTTGATCTAATGTGAGGATCAGCCTTTAACCCTAAATTCGGTAGTGACTCAGAAAGTAATCTTTCAACAGCATTGTAGTATCCAGGCTTGAATCGACGGTCATCATTGTACTTTCCAGTGTTATGTAAATCCAACAACGCATCAACCAATTTCTGATCTTCTACAGTAGTCCACGGTCAGCATTGTACTTTTCTTATGATATATGTAAATTTTTCCTGAAGAATTAACCTCTCGATATTAAAAACTATATTACATATAATAATAAATAAATCCATGTAAATATCAATTATCATCATCCAAGAGTAGTAAGCTTTTCAACATGAGCATGAGTCAATTGCTAATAATTCAATTATTTCACAAAGAAAAAAAATATTGTTTCCATGATTAAACTTTGTACATAAAAAAGAAAAAAGAAAACACATATGACAAACATAAAAGCCAAACAATTATTGTTGCCCTATCCACTGATTATACATAGAATCTGCAAGGTTATCTCGTCACGAAGTCCAATCTGAAGTAGTTTCAGTTGTCATGATTGGATCATTAGCATTGACAATTTGAGTTGTTTCCTCCAAAACATCAAGACACTCTTCAAATGGATCAACCTCCATCTCCCTCCTTATATAATTATAAAGGAGACGACATGCCATGATTATTCGATTTTATATCTTGATAGGGTAAAATGAAGGACTACGTAGGATCACCCATCTTAATTTAAGCAACTCAAAACATCTCTCTATAACATTTCTAGCAGATGCATGTTTCATATTGAAAAACTCACGTGCAG